GGAAATTACTAACGTATCAATTGGTGAGATCCAAATACAAGAAGCCTGGACCTTTCTTCGGCCGACGCCTCCTCTTCGGCGGAGATCTCCCTTTGACAGTAGAAAGGGGACTGGGGCACGGAATGGTGGCCGACGTAGACGCTCCGTCCACCGCACGGAATACTCCAACATCCTCACCCTCAGACGACGAGGCGGCTTCCTCGTCCGCACTTTCCTCGTCCCTATGCTCCCCAGATCTGAAGGGACTTAACTCCTCAATCTCCTCACAACACTCTTCAAGTACCCCGTAATCAAGGGACTTAGCGGAGGCTTCATTGTCACACGGGTAGTACTCGTCGTCTAGTGGTTTCACTATAACAGCTACCTAAGGCCTAATGGGGATTATATGGGATCTAAGTGTGGCTCGTTGACTAACACTAGATCAAAGCATAAGGAAGCAAAGTATACAAGAAAATGGAGAAAGATTGACGAACTGACCTTTGAAGTTTTGAAGAAACTGAAGAACACTCGAGCAAGCCTTTCTCTCTAGGAAATTGGGCACCATTTCGTTAGCTCAGGATGCAAATGGGGGACTTCCTTCGGAGAGGGATGATATTTCTAGACCTCCCCCAACGGTCACTACACGTGGCACCCTCCTAGTGGCCACATGAACGGCCACCACCCCAGGGCCCAATAAGGTGCCATCGGTTCAAAAGATGAGCCATGCCCACTTCTAGCACTATCAGCCCACGTCCAACGTACCAACAAGAAGCAACTCTAACGGCCAAAGCATTCAATGGCCACGGTAAGGAGAGATATGGCCCTCCACATCCACAGGTCATGCCCACATCGACCCTAGTAGCCAACGATTACTTCAATGGCCTGCCCCATTTCAGAACGCCACCTCACCATCAAAGGCCCCAAGGTGTGCCCATATCGGCCTGACATGTTACCAACAACGAGGCTCTTTCAACGGCCACAAAAACAAGGTGGAAAAGAACCTAATAGTCATCGGCCCCGTATAGAACCTACTGATGATAATCTCTTGAAAGTGACCTGCGTCCAAGGGTTCTCCCACATGGTTACCTTGGTCAGGAATCACCAAGAGGTTGGATTCAGGGGGAATACGAGGATCCCGCTTCGGACTGGGGTTTCACCTTACTACTTCATCCCTCACTGACCCTTCGGCCTGAAGTAGTGGGGGACTGGGGGGGACTACACCGGCCTCCAAACGCAAGGACAAAATTGAAAATCCAAAAACGACATAAGTATACAACTACAACAAACACCATATCATCTATGCATCATAACGTCCAGGACCTGGTGGTGCACCCTTGGCCGCAACAAAGTAAGCAATCAAGGAAGCAAAGCTCATCTCCCTGAACGAGACGCGTGTCGTCCCTCGACGTGTGCCGCTCAACGGCCTTGGGGTCACGTACTCCATTCTTGGCAAAGATAAAAAACAAGGACACACAACGTCACCTAGCCCAGTGCCGTTATCATCCTCAAAGCCATGGACACCAAACATCGATTTCGGGGTAACCAAATTTCTGATTGACCAGGCTAATCACATGAAATAAATTTAATTGAGCAACGCTAATCAATAATAAGTTCTAACCTTTCTCGCAGCGTAGAGTACAATAATTTAGGGAACCAAGCTGATCTTTCATGCGACATGTATCTAAAATTACTGCTAGAACGAGCGAGCGTGCATTCCCTTAATCGTTACTAATCTCTTAGCGAATGATTAAGTGTGTGTGTGAAGGTGTCCTAGAATAATCTAGATCTCTCTTAATTTATTCTACAAGCAATTGTAATTCTAGCATCTGTTCTAGGTTACGAGAGATATCGATTAAATCATTCAAACACAAATGAAACCCAGTCATGCAATTAATCCATCATGAATTTAGTCATACATCATGATTAACTCCTTCATCAATCCCAAATCCCCAATTAAACCTATTCACAACTCATAATTGAAAAATCAACAGAATTGGGATGAATAGAAATCATTGTCATTAATAAAAAAGTAGGAACATACAAATAATCCCACGGTCTTGAACAAATAAGCAGAAAAACAACGTAAAACTCGTCCCTAGACCTCTCTCTAAATTGTGTAACCAAAATAGGAGTATGGAGGCCTATTTATATAAAACAGACAAATATGAGCTGAATTAGGATTTTCGGAAGCAGGCACGGGGTCAGGCATGATGTGCTTGACGACCTTGCCTGCATAGCAATTTCGCGTCTCGCGTCCAGGCACTGCGTGCCTCCTTGATAGGCACGACAGTGCCTGACCTCCATTGGTGACGAGCACTTTGTCACGATGCGTCAAAATAATTTCAATACTAAACACTTATACGTAGTATAGCGTAGTAGAGTTCGTATCCACAGGGAAAGGAATAATTCTCTTTTTATGATACTTTAAATAAAAAGGGGGAATTTGGATTGAGTGATTTAATTTAATTAAAAACTAAGATGAACAACCTATATGTGTTTAATTCAAAGATAAAAAGGACTTGGCATTGCTACTTTCCACTTGTTGATATATTTTAGTCGATCATTGTTATATCTATAACTTATTCCCTCTCGAATACTCAATCGGGGAGTATATCCACTTCATCGAGGGTAGTTATTAACAACGACCGTTCATTAATAACCCTTACTATTAATCAAATATAGAACAACGCCTTATACCGATTTAATAGTAGCATTTAATCTTTCTAACTCCTTGATGAAATCAATTGAGATTGATAACCTCAACACAAGCGGTTTCGGTTTAACCAACAAAATTAATCCCTCTTAAGTTTATTAACCACGACCGTGCATTAATAAACCGAAGTTACTTACTCGTGAAACCATCAACGATTAACCATCGGTTCGTTGATCGTTTCTAGTAATAATTAATATATGAAACAAAACTAGTTGATCCTTTAAGTAATGTTCAAAATATTAATATGAAATAAGAGTAGGAATTAATTAATATTCAAGGAAGAATATTATTAAAGAAGATGAATCCTACTATAATTAATATCTAGATGTTAACTAATTGTCATCTTAGCAACACTCCCCAACATTAATATAGAGGAAGAAAATATCATTCTAACTAATGTCGAGATGTTAACTAATTGTCATCTTAGCAACACTCCCCAACATTAATATAGAGATGGTATTAAGGAAAGAACTATTAATTAATATTCAAGGAAAGAAGTTAAGAAAATAACTCACAACTTTGATAATCAACAAGCTTCAAGAGCAACACCAAGAATGGAAGTTTAGCTCCTCATTTGGAGACTAAACATAGCTAGAAAAATATAAATAAATGCTATTCTAAACTGAGCTAAAGAGTATGGAAGAAGGGATGATTTTTTGTGAAGAAAAAGTGTGCTATTTATAGGTGTTTTTCAACACCTTTGGCCGGGTACCCGACCGGGTCCGGTCAAAATCAGATAATCCGCCACGTTCTGGTGATCTTCACACGTCGTTTTGTCCCGGGTCACATCTGACCCGACCGGGTCAAGTAGGGGACCCGACCGGGTCCAGTGACTTTCTTGGCAATTTCGTCTGTTAAATCACACCCGACCGGGTGGGGGGTTTCTACCCGGTCGGGTTTCACTCCTGGGCAGTCAAATTTCTTGTTTTCTTCTCTTCAAAGTCTTCCTTTCCGACACCACAAATCCTAACTAAACTTTACAACTTACAAATAAAGACTAAAATACAATTACAACTGAAATCACATAAATGTTTACAAACTAAATAAAACGTCAAACAATTAACATAAATCAAACATAAAAACCTGTAATCATGCACTACTAATTAGTGCGCATCAATTGGCCAGGTACCTCTTCCTTCTACAGGCACAGCGTGCCTGGCCTGTTTCGTCGCCTGCTCTTCTTCTAGGCACGCATGTCGTGCATAGCTGCTGGGCACGGCCATGCGTGTTATCTTCTTCATCTATTCTTTCCGTTTCTCGCTCCAAATTTTCCCGGATGCTCCCGTGATCGATCCAAAGACCCTTTCTTCATCAAAACTTCGTTGTAAACCTCCCGGTGGCCTCCAAAACTCTCAAATCTCTCTCGAATGCTCATCAACTCGTCCCAAATGCTTCTTAAGGGCTGGTGTCGGACTCTAATTTCCTGATTTTGACCCAAAAAATACAAAAACGCGAACCAATGTCCGGTAAACATAACTTGAGCTAAAGTTGAGACTTAAAACATCTTAAAGCTAGGAATACCATCAAAAGCCGATCCCAACACGCATGAAATGCGTGTTGTAATACGAACCTATCAACGGTTTTGAAAACTGAATTATAGTAATTTTTGGAAAATTAACTCTTATAGTAATTGTCAGATCATCTAATCATGAAAAGGAGTAATGTTTGAAAATTGGATTATAGGGTAGCATCTGATGATTAAAATTAATATTATATTGATAGAGTATATTGGTCTGGACCCACGACCCACATACTCTTGGACATACGCACGGATCAAGCCGACACCAGGGACATAAGGCCCACATAGAGAGCCCTTTCCACAATGAAAAAGCGGACTTTCTGTCCGTACCATCACCTCGGCATACACACCTTGGAGGAACGCACCTCTGCCACAAGCCAACAAGGCTCACCTGGGGGGTCACCTGCAGGACCGAGGTGCACCCTAGCAACTCAGACCCATCACTAGCAGATATCATCATTGTACTCTTAGCGGGTTAGAATGCATGTAAATAACCCGTTAGCGGCCCATGATTGTAATTGGGCCTCCAAGATTCAGGACCTGAGAGCCCAATCCACATTCCCTCTATAGATATCATGGGATAGTTGTAGAGGGTTCAAAACTCATTTATTGCAAACTCTTTCCTTGTCTATTATTAGCTCTCCCTTCTCTTTAAGTTATACCACTAGTCGTTTACCGGGAAGTATCATATATATCAAACATATAAAAACATTAGGGTTGTTGATTGAGTTGTGTGCGTAGCTGGATCTTATAAACAAAAATGGATTAAACATGACTATATAACATAAATTAGGGACTGCGTACCGCGTATGTACGTATTTCAAGTTTTCAACTAAGCTTTCACAATGGTGTACGTAAAAAGACTAAGATTTCACAATCGATTAAAGAATTCCAAACTCAAAACCTAATCGAACAAATAATAATCTTCTGAATTCAAAACACAAACAAACAAGCAATCTGGAAGTCGGTCTAGATCCTAATTAAGTCCTTCCTATACACAATCATCCAGAAAGGTACAAGGTTTTGACACAGCTAGATACACCATCAAAACGTACTGAAAAGTCATGCCATACACTCACTCCTACACATTAATTAATTACTTAATCAATAATTAACTCTGGTACTTAGTAGAGGTAGGGTGCGAAAAGGAACCAGAAATGTGAAGAAAATTACCAACATGCCCTTATGCAAAACATCAAAAGCGCATGCAATTCGATATGGGTAGGTTAGTAATTTTCCCTCATTCCAATCCCAGGACGGTGTCCCACCAGAAAATAAGCGTCTTGCGCTCACACTCAGTCGTTGACTAAAATGACGAAGTCAATACCCGAACCATCACCCTTGCAGCTGCTCGGTGAACTGAACTTCACCCTTCAACCACACAACAAGCTAGCTAGCTCCGTAAGGACTACAAAACATACATTATTATGATATGTATAATATGCGGTGCGTTCTTGACTTCTTCATTAAATCTCTTTTAATGACGTAGGAATCATGCAGTTTCGCATGTCACAGCCCCCTTGATCCTCTCAACCGTGCACTTGATCAGGCTGTTCACGGTTGCAACTGACCCAAGGGAGAGTTTCGCGGTCGGGACCGAGTCAACCAATATCTGGAAGGCAACGGTCAGAAGCGACCCGCCCGGACCCACTTCTGGGTTCGTGACCCCGAGGCCGGACGGTCCATCGGGTAAAATAGCAAAACCGGAAGGAAGGAGTGCAACATAGTCGGGGTCTCCGCCACTCAAAACAACATTCATGGCCACAATGTCGACCGGAGCATAGATTACATAGGACCCGGACGAGTCAATGCAACTCTCTTGGAGAATCAACATGTTACTCTGGCTTGAGTTAGCACTCTGTCGATCATTCATAATAGAATTTAATTAAACAGAACTTAATAAGGCATGCTTGAGATTCAATAATTGATCACATTTTTCAAACATATTACTCAAATAAAATATATGTATAAAAATATGACCTAAAACTATTATAAGCATTGTGTCATGGTTAATACACTTAAATGGTCACATTTTATAAAAAAGACTTCATTTTTGTCATAATGTATGATTATTTGATAATTAATAGGTATCATATCTTTGTCTACATGGACCAATCAAAATATTATTTTAATGAAAATTAAAAGTGATACAATGTCTTGGAGGCTTGGACCGATCAAATAAATGATAAATACGGTACCCTATTTTTTAATTCTCAATTTTTTTATTGGGTACCGTAGTTCACAGGGAGTTAATACTACTTCTGTCCCAAATTATTTTTCAAAGTCATTATTATTTGGTCAACTAATGTTAAAGTTAAATCCTCCCCATTGATAAATAATTCAATTCTACTACCTGCGTCCCAGTGGATTTTGCAAAGTTCAAAGTAGGTGAGCAATAAGAAACGTAAAAACATTGTGGTAAAGGTTTGTGCAGGAGAGAGAGAATTGAGGAGAACCACAAATTAATTCCTTTAATAGGAAAGTGACAAAGTTTTTTGGGACAACCAAAAAAGAAATTTGGCAAAGTCTAATGGGACGGATAGAGTAAGGACACGTTTACTTCACGGGTTAGTAAACGGTGCTTATTAAGACTCGCGTTAATAAGCGGCGCATAAAATAAGCAGTGTTGTAAGCTCACGTTTACTTCACGGATTAGTAAACGGTGTTTATTAAGATTCGAGTTAATAAGCGGCGCATAAAATTAGCAGTGTTGTAAGCTCATGTTTACTTCAAAGGATTTAAAACACCGTTTAACATTAAAATGTCCAAAATAACCCTAGAGATATATACACACACAAACATTCATGAAAACAAGTATATAATATAATATGTGGGGTCACTTTGTACGCTTAGTCGCTTACCCATACCCCTACCCCACTCTGTACCCCCACCCCATATGTGGGGTATGGTCGGGTCAAGGGTGGGTGTGGGTTGAGGTAGAGTAAGGTTGGGGTGGGGTAGGGGGTAAAGGTATGGAGGGGGTGGGGTATGGGTCGGCTCAGGTGGGGTAGGGGTGGGTGAGGTAGGGGTAGGGGGTAAAGGGGTAAGGTCGGGATCGGGTCAAGATATGGCAAGGTGGTAAGGGGTAAAGGGGTAGGGTAAGTGTGAGGGTGGGGGTGGGTAGGGCAGGTGGTGGAGAGTAGGGTCAGGGTAGGGGTAGTGCGGGGTTGTGGGGTAGCAATAGGGTAAATGCAATCAGGTAAAGGTAAGGGTAAATTCGGAAACTGAAAAAGCTTAAAGTGCTGCTTAATTAATACATGTGGGTGGTATGCTTAGTAAGCGGCATTTTAAGTACCTCTTTCGGTTAGTAAATAGTGTTTTAAGCAACTTGCGTGTTTAATTCATCTGTCTTACTAACCTAATTGTGACTTTAGCAGCGATGTAAACACCTCCTAATAGTTAAAATTTACATATAACGAGTTACATTATAATCTCTACGAAGTTCCAATTTAAATTTTGATTTAAGAATTGACATCTATGAATAAAATAAGGGGTCACGCTATGGTGCCTTTGGAAATTTGGAAGGTATGATGCATCTCATTGTGTAGGTAAATGAAATAATGATACATGAAAATTTATTACATCCATTAATGAATTGATTTGGAATACTATTAAATTTAAGAAGGCAATACATGCGTGATTGACTTACGTTGACTCGCAAAAGAGAGACACAATTCCCTGGTTCCCGACCATTTGCGATATGCGCCATTTCTTGAACCAGCCCACCATTCGAGAGAATATCCCACTGTAAATATACCGCAGTAAACTAATAATTATTTTCATTAAAAAAATTAACTAAAAAAAGAGGAAAATGTTAATGTCGTTATGACCTCGTTTCTGGAGTTTTCGTCACGAAGAAAGTCAAAGACTCTCTTTGGCGGAACGGGGAGCCAGAAAGAAGTTGCAGCGCTTAGAACAATGCCGGGCGGCCTGCCCGGGTCATCTATACTCTTGCGGGTCATGACCCTGACGTCATCCACTCCGCTCCCAGACAGTGTTGTCCACGTATGCGCCGTCGAGGCACCAACGCCGGCGCAAAAGCTCATCACCATTCTTTCAGCCAGCTTGAGCATGCTCTTCCTGCCCTCTGCACTCGTTATCACTGCATGCCAACATCATTCATATATCAACAGTTTTTTGTTTATAATTTGCTCAATATAAAGGCTAAAACATATTAGACAAAATTCTAAGTATGTTTATTATCTAAATAAGAGTTATTCAGTTCTATTAAAAAAATGGGGTGTTTTACCAAAATGAGGGAATTCCTAACATGGTTTCCCAAATTGGGGTTTACCACTAGTCTCAAAAAACACACCTCTCCTCCCGTTGGATTTGCATCTTCGGACTAGGATGTTTATTTTTGTTTTTTTTTTAATTCCTCCCGTATTATTGTTAATTCCTCTAGTATTGTTTTGTTTTGGAAAAAAATACCTCTCCTCTAGTCGGATTAGTGTCTTCCGATTAGGATGTATTTTTGTTTCTTTTTAATTCCTCCCTTATTATTGTTAATTCCTTTAGAATTGTTAAAATTTTGATTTTAATAGTTTTTTAAAATAAAGGTTCAAATTCCTGTCAAAATTGTTAATTACGAATTTAAAATTTTTTTCTGATTAGTTTTATTTGATTATATTTATTTGATTAAATTTTATCTGATTAGTTTTATCTGATTATAATTCTTTGATTAAATTTTATCTGATTAATTTTATCTGATTATATTTTAATGATTATATTTTATCTGATTATATTTATCTGATTAAATTTTGTCTGATTATATTTATCTAATTAAGTTTTTTATGATTAATTTTTATATTTTTATGATACTCCCAAATCCGACCATATATGTTTGTGATGAAATAATTAGACATGTATGCCTCCAAGTGAGGCTCAAAACGTTTTGGTGAACATGGCGAGAGAAGAATTTGTTTAATATCTACGGAGTATTAAAATCCCAAATCAATTTCTCCAATATGGGGATGTATATCATTCATGCGGAAATGGTGAATATGGTGCATTTCGATGAAGGTAGTCCAGTAATACCATTGATGCGGAAATTCAAAATGATTTATAAAAATGATACGTTTTTTATGATCCATGATGTTACCATGAAAACCCTAACAGTTCATTACGTTTTTTATGGTTGTCTCATCTGAATTTTCTCGCACTTAAATTAATCGTAGAATAGTGGTGAAAGTACGAGTATCGTCTCCACAGGGACGGATCGGACAAAAGGAAGTTAAAGATTAACTAAATTCAGCGATTAAAAATAAAATAAAATAAATGCGTCTTGCGAGATTGATTGGTTGAATGGAAATTAAACTAATGCGAATGAGCGAATAAAAATAAAGATTTGGGTTCTTCTTGATTAACGACGAAGGGAACAGGGATTGATTCCGGGGTAATCAGATTTCTGGCAGATCAGGCCTAATTACATGGATTTAATTTAATTGAGTCTAACTAATCAATACTAAGTTCTTACCGCTCTCGCAGCGAAGAGTACAATAATCATCAAATCCGACTCCAACACGCATCAAATGCGTGTTGTAATACGAACTTATCATTGTCCACTTTCTTTTTTGGATTTTCCCAAAATGAATACTCTCTCCTTTCCTCTAACTTTGTTGCGGTATACCATTTCGGTTAATTATCAAAATAGGACTAAAAGTCATTCAATTTGCACAAATAGGACCAAAAAGTAAACTATATTTTCATAGGACTAATTATGTGTGTTTTGCACAAATATACCCTTATAGCTATTGAAATGTTTCAATTCATAATAAAATAATAAAAAATAATAAAAATCGTAAAAGATACAAAAAAAAAATTAAAAATATTTCGATAACAGTTTATTTATTTATTTATTTCAAAAAGAAAATAAAAAACAAAAAGCTCAAAACAAAAAAATCACCGCCGCTTCTGCCGCCTGTGCAGCACCACCTCTAGTCACCAGAGGAAAAGAATGCCAAGTTCATTACGAATGCCACATTTATGGTAGAAAACAATGAAAGTGTTGGCATTCTCAAAGAGAAATATGCTATGTTTTTGGCATTTTCAGGAAAAAAATGACAGTTTTTAGAAAAAATGACATTTTTTCACCGGCCGGAGATGGTGGTGCAATGAGTTAGTAGAGGTGGTGGGAAAGGCAACCATATTTTTTTAATTTTTTTAATGGAGTTTTACTAGTTTTTATTAATATTCAGAAAAAATAAAAAATTAAAAAAAACAAATCTATTATTTTTATAATTTTTTTATTTATTTTTTTACGAATTTTTGAATTTTTTTCGAATTTATTATGAATTAAATATTTAATTAACTCATATTTAAAGGAAGGGTAAGAATAAAATGAAAAAATAGGTATGTTTCCAATAGGACTAATATGGTCCTATTTTAAAAAGAAAAACATAGTAAGTCATATTTTGAGTTTTTATCATAATTTTAGTCCTATTTGGAGTAATTTGTATTTACCATTTCCGTCCGTCCTTTTAAGTTTATTTCATACCATATTTGGTAATATTTGAAAGGTTAGAATTCATTATTGCTTTATTCACAATTTATCAATTCAATATGAACCACACAATTCTAATTTTTTTTAAAAATTAGGGGGAAAGAGGTAGTATCTGTTTCCTTTTGGCCTGAAATATGTGATCCATATCACTTTGCCCTATTATATTAAAATCTCTATCATAATTTTAACTTTTCAATCATTTTATCATACTAAATTAAAACAGGACAATCAATATGAAAAGAAATAGTAGTATGAATTGAAACTCATTCTCGTTTCTCAAAATTGTTGATATTTGAGTTTATGAGTGTTGATTTAGGTGATAAATTAATTTGATACATACCTCCAACTTCACCGGCTTGAATGTTGTTAGCCATAGCGCTGGCAAGCCGTTCACACTGTCGGTCCAGTGTGGATACCCATCGTTTCGCCCCGAATGCGAGGCCCGAATTGACTAACGGCTTGTATATGCTGTGAACGGCTCTATCATCCACTTCCACATGTTCAATCCATGTTACCTACCCACATTCATTATATGTTCATTGCCTCATAAATAAATCCAAGCGTGGTTCGTATTACTCATCATTATAGTGCCCCGTCATTGGGTCATGTTCGATTTTAATGATCTAACATTTCAAATTTAATATGAGTAATTAATTAATTAATACGGAGTACTATGTATAAAACCATTTCCAATTTAGGAAAACATGCAAATATTTTTTGCTGAACTCATATGTTCTCATAAAATAACGGTATTTATAACTTTTTATGACTCTCTAAAACAAAATCTCCGGAGCAAAATCATTTTTATAGAACAGTCTTTCTATTCTTAGTCATGTTGTAACCACAGATTTATTTTATTCTATTCAAGATAGAAAAATAGGAGAAATTAGGACTTTAATTTAATCCCTGCATTTGTTCTAGATTATTTTATTCTATCTTTTAATTTTTCCGAATATTTTAGCCTCAATATGTAGTTAATGCCGTCTCGGCGTCTCCGTCCTTAATGATACAGCAAACTCATTTAAAACATTTAATCCTGATTAAATTTTGAAAGAAGCCCTTTATATTATTGAATAAAACGTTATAAATTGTTTTGATTTATATTTTCAAAAAATATATAGCAATACAATATCGCCAAAAGTATATATTTTATATGAATTAATATATTATGGAGTAATAAATACTGTAATACGGAGTATAATGGTTAACGTCTTGCACTAAGAAACATGAAAGTCATAATAGTGTAATTTAAAAACTTGTCTTGCATGAGGTATCCATTAAAATCCGGGGTCAAAGTTCAATATCTATATATTCTGGATCTCAAAAAAGTCAAACACCTATTAAATGTAAAAAAAGAAAAAAGAAAACATGACGCATTAAATGACTTATTAAATGTTACAGGTGAACTTAAGTCAAACTTTAAAATAAAAGTTAATAATTACCTTAGAGTAACCATTAGGTAATTCTTGTATCAAACAGCCGGATGGCCTTCTTCTACTTCTTGCGATGGAAGAAGGGCGCAAAGTGTCCAAAGAAACATCAACCACTGCCCAAGTGCCATCACCGTGTTGCTTGCAATATCTCAGAAAGTAATTTTCTCGGGTTGGAACAAACGGTGAAGGGACTTGAAACTCAGCACTCATCTACATGTGATTTTGATGTATATGTACAATTAATTTGCCCCCAACTTTAATTGAATGTTTTAGAGCCCATTTGGTAATTACAGAATCTGTTGATTTTACTGTAATTTATGAAGTTTTGACTAAAGTCGCTTGATTGGCAGATTTTGATGAATTATATATGAAAAATTACACGTAGCATTTCAAATATAATTTAAAATATATAAAATATTATATGAAAAAGTAGTTGAAATGATGGTTTACGGTTACTTCGGTCAACCTTATTTTCATTATAACATAAACAAGAGCGCGAAAACAAAGAATCACTCAACGAGCTCTGATCTTACTCCACATGAATTTGCCTTTTAATTACCGTTTGTAGTGCACCGTTGTAATTTCCGGCTATACCGGTGGATAAGACCTCCAATGTTAGGGCTCTTGAAACAATGCCGGCAAACACGGAAGACCACTGGTTCTGGAAACCAAGCACAATACACACAGGGATAAGTAAAATTAAATGTTGAAGTCAAATTAGTCAACCACTTTTAGTATAATGGCGTGACTAATACTTTTCATAAACGAGCTTACACTCGAATCAGTGTTGACTGTATTATTATTTATAACTCGACGGTATTACATTTACTATATTTTGTTTTTTTCTTTTAAATGATATGTTGTATAGTAAGTGAAATTATAAAAGGATTTTGATAAAAATGATTTGTAACAATCCACCCAAATAAATTATGAATATGGATGAATCGTACGTGGATGACATATTTAACCGATAATGGGTGAATGAAATCGAGTGAAGTTTTCCCACCTAAACCCGACCCATTGTCATACCTCGTCTTGCAACATTAGGTTCTTAACAATGTTGTAAAAAGCTTTAGGTTATAAATAAACTTAAGAAGCACGGGGAGTTCATACCACATCCATGAGAATCTCCACAAGGTTTATGTGATTCATAATCACCACAGCTGATTCTCTTGAAGCCTCAGATTTAAAACCTGGTGGTTTAGGTCCAATTCCTCTAGGAAAGGTCCGAACATATTCATCCTCACTTAGAATCTCAGTTGAGTTGTCAGCGCCTAGAACCCAAAGAGGTTCCCCTACTTGAGCCATTCTGATCAGCTCCTCCATTGCAGCCACTGCTAGCTCAATGATCATTGGCTTTTCGGTATCAGATGGCCCAGAAACCGACCGTAAAAGATCACCTGCAGTGTATAAATCCCCTTGAACGGCTAACGATTGAGGACCGAAACCTCCTACTCCCAGATCAAGTGGACGAGATGACCCGAGGGAAGGTGCATTGGAGTACGAGAGCATCGGCTTGCCAACATACTTTGCAGCAATGGCCGATATCTTGTCAATCTTAAAAACAGTCACCATAACAAAAAACAACATTGTTAGGAACATATTTTAATGTTGGCCCCATGTATAATTCTCTGATCTTTCATCTTTAAAATTGATAGGTGTTCTTAATTAGTAAAATACATCATCTCTGTGTGCAATTACCTCCTCTCTAAGACGAACATTTTCGATCCTCAAATGTTGCTCCTCAAATGACATTTCTCCAATAGAAGCCGGCCCTCCACAGTTAGGGCAAGTAGCGTTACTTAGGGCGTCCTTATAGCGTATGTTTTCGGCCCGAAGCTTTTCGTTCTCTGCCCTCAATGAACCATTGTCTTGGCGTTCTTGTTGAGCCTGAAAGTGTACATAGTATGAACCAGCTCCATTACAATTATTTACTCTGAATACATTTTAGTATCATACCAAAACTGTTCAATACAATAAGGTCATGATCAAGAATGACCAAACCTTCATTTGAGTGCGTTTGTTTTGGAACCAAAATTTTATCTGCAATGGCTCAAGGCCTAGCCTACGTCCCAATTCCTTCCTTTGTTTGTCATCCGGGTGTGGGCATTCTTTGAAAAACCTGCCACATTAAAACAAAAATGTGACTTGACATTTAAATCCCCCCACCCCTCCCGATCGACTACGTACCATATATACTTCGTTCCGAGTGGGATATATCGAGTATGTTTACCATAGTCGATAGTTATAATGTGTGCATATGAGACTTAATTCCTTACGATTCCATTTCGGTGATTTGATGTTGAGTATGGCGATGATAACGCTTCTTCTTGTTTGGGGGTTGATTGGGATCTTGATCATCTCCAGATGGTGCTTCCATAACATCAGTTCCCGATTTGCTCTCGAACTCATCGTCTCTAAGTATGTCTAGCTCATTCTCTTGCACTTTTTGCCCCACATCCAGCAAATGTTGATGCCCATCGAACATATTTGGATGAAACATCTTTACTCAACACTTTGAGACTAGTACTTCTCAATCTGCAAAAGTGGAAATCAATGAAATAAATATACACAAAGTGTTGCAATTAAAACATCTGATCCTACCAGACCACTGTTGTGTCAATGTTTTAATCACACTTGTAATTAATTTTTGAGTCCCCGGGTGGGACAAATACTTCAACATTGAGCCTTGCGGATTAGAATTTATTTTTCACCATGCAAACGTGCACGCATTGCTAAGCTGTTCAGTCATTCGGGTTTAGTTTAATCTCTAAGAGAAGATCTAGATCAGAACGGTAAACTTGAACAACTATAACGTACAAGATAGAAAGAATGAGAAAAGGAAAACCCTTGATTTACCACAATCAGCTAAATTTAATGGTCACACTTATGATAAACTTATGAGGCATATTCAAATCCAAGCTCAGCTTCATGAAAATGAACGAGTTATTCTACTGCCGTTTCCTTATCTTTGACCTTCTAGCAAACCCTAATTAAGGAGGGTTTCCAATCTCAAGAAGAAGAAGAAGAAACACATTTGTTTTCACCAAGGTTATTATTGATAAGGTTAAAACTTAATAGTTAAAAGCAGTATTTTTCTTTGCCAGTACTATCTGAGAGTAAAAGCAAAAGAATGTAAAAAAATGTAGAACTTAGAATGTGTGCGAAGAGCTCATAGCTGTAAAGTCTACAGTGTGAACGCAACCAACTGGTCGTAATTTATTATTGTACATTTGCTTTTATTTTCGATGATAATTGACCGATGTTACATTTTCTCATATTATAACGCGCACGAATATCTCGGTCGAATCATAAAAACTTTGACCCTTTTTTAACCTTTTCTTAAATAGAAACAAATATTATTATAACGTAAGCTAAAAAGTCAAAATGGAAGCTTACCACTATTACTTCCTCTTCCAAGAGCTGTCATATCATGATGGTTTGCTGAGATGTGCTACGCTGGATCTGGCTTCCCGGTGAAAGGGTCACCGGAAAAGTAGTTGCTGAACGGCGCTATGCGGCGGTGGAGTGGTGTCTAACGGCAGGGGGGAAGAAAAAGGAGCCATACATGGTGGGAGAAAAGGGTATGGATAGATGGAGAATGGAGAAGACAAATATAATTAATTTTAATAATTATTGTGTAGAAAGGAGAGTGTGTGTGACAGATAGAGAGGGGAAGAAGAAGGGGAATAGGTGAAGAAGATGTGGCAGTGAGGAGTTATTGCTGAGCCTATTGAGAAGATGAAATAGCATTTATGGCGGGGCTGGAGGTGTTAAATACTTAATATATACTGGCATCGATGAGGGATCCATATGAGGTTATAACAATAGGGGTACAATAGTCGATTGCATTATTGATGATGAATGTGTAAAACTTAATCTAAGCTATATATAAGATGTTTAGACAATTACTGAATATTACGGAGTACAAGAGTCTGATAATTTAATTGTTTATAGTTAATTAACATATACTCCGTACTACGTTTATATATAGAATGTCATTAATGATATGTATTTTTAAGTTTATCTATTCAACTATAATTTTTAGTTTTTTGAAATAAATTAAATAGTTTTCAAAATTACATTTTTTATTTTCTTATAATTAAAGTTAATAATTTTTCCGTATAAATTCAATTTATTTATTACGTACTGTATTTTATTTAGTGCATCTGTGTGATTATAATATTGTCTCAGGTTTTTTATTTTCATTTTTAATGTTTTTCAAAATAATACTTCATACTATTTAAATATAATAATAATGAAAATAAAAATAAAAGAAATTGACTGAAATAGAAGTAAAAATATGTCCAATGTCAAATGCATGTACTATATTTTTATTCAACAATTAGGAGTAATTAGTGTCAAGCTTGAGAAATGATTTCAATTATGATAGTAATAATTTCATATTAAAGTATAGTAATTAATGCTGAAATATGACAGTAAAATTCATAATGACGGTAAGCTACGTCTATTTAGGGCATCCCCATTCATGGTTTTTTAGAGGTTCGATGTGGATGATATTTTTGAAGATTATGATTGAAGAAGTCTTATCAAAATTTGAATCCGATTATTCACAATTCACGGTAATCCGATTATTTTTGAGAGAAACCTAGAATGCATATTTTTTCAATAGATCATTACTTAAAAATAATAATATTCTTTAAATATGCACGCTTAACACAAATTCTTGATGTTATGTTTTTTTTAACATAAATTCTTTATAATTTAATAATTTTTTATCGTGAGTGTATAAATATATACGGAGTGTTGTATAAATATATACGTAGTATTATAGTAGTGATGCGCATGTGTGTATTTTTATTTTAGAAATTGCCTAAATAGGAGCAAAAACGTTTTGAAATTCCAAAATAGGAGTATCATATTTTTTATTCACTGAACAGGAGTAATCTGTCAAGTTAGGAAGAAAATGCCATGTTTAAAGCCTAGTAATGCCATGTTTGGCAGAAATTTACTCTTATTTAGGGAATAAAAAACATGATACTCCTATTTTGGAATTTCAAAACTTTTTTACTCCTATTTAGGGAATTCTCTCTTTTTTATTTATGTGTTTGTGTATATGTACGTACATGTGTGTACATATATACACATATTTTTATGTGTGTGCATTTAAGGTAGAGATTTTGAAATTAAGTGTATGGCTCACAGAAAATTTATGTAAATTAAGATCATGGTTGAGGAGAAATTATTTGGTTTGAAGATTATTTAAGATTTTCATATGTGGAAGTGAAATGACAATAACAAGCTATAAAAACCCGTAAAATTGAAGAGCATGAATGAAGATGCTCTTAGAGGGGAAATGAAGTGCTCATATTTATCATTATTTTTAATTCTATTTTCAAAAAAAATCCTAAAGATAATGATATTTCTTATGATTATTGTAATTACTCTCTCTGTCCCTCTACAATTGTCTCATTTTTTCATTTTTGGATGTCCTCTATTATTGTTCTGTACCATATTTGGTAACATTTGTGTGATTCTAATTCATTCTTACTTTATTCTCACTTCATCAATTCATTATCAACCACACAATTCTATTTTTCTTAAAAATCACACCACTTCCTTCCGTCCCAATATGAATAAAATAGTTATTCATAATTACTACGTATCTTATATTTATATGATCATAAAATGGTTACAAAATGAATAAAATTAGAGAGTTATTCGAGAGTGGAAGATAAGAAAATCAATTTAAAAAAGTTACTTAAAGCGATATTTTGGTTTTTTATTATTTGACATAAAATTAGCTAAATTCAAAAATTGTTAACCAAATACTAAAGACATGTTTACTTTACGTTGTAGTAAGCGTTGTTTGTTAAAATATGTTTTAGTAACTTTGACTAATAACAAGTATTTAATACACATGTGTCTACTCCGGGATAAATAAATTAGTATAGGAGGGAGTGCTTAAATTACTATGTAACATTTTAAGATATAACAAGTACTCCGTATTTACAAAGTACTCCGTAACACTTTAAGACATAGACCCCGTTTGGCACTCAACGGTTAGCAGTTAGCGGTTAGCAATTCTTTAGGAAGGTGAGAGGGCAAAGGAGTGAATTTACGAAACGCAAAAAATCAGCGGTTTTATGAGTCAAAAACACTGAAACGGTCAAACCCTCCATTTTTTTGGCAGAACCGCCAATATACAAACGCACCTGACGTGCACTTTGTCGTGAAATGCACTCAAAATAATTTATCAATACAACACTAATACGTAGTATAGTGAAGTAAGGTTCGTATCCACAGAGAAAGGAATACTTTTCTTTTATGTGAATAGTAACAAGGGGGTTTTAAGTTTGATTTGATTTAATTTAATTAAAACTAGATGAACGACTTATATGAGTTTAATTTATAGAGATGAGGACTTGGTTTTGCTTTTATCCACTTAATGAAATGTTCGTCGATCCCGGTTATATCTTTAACTATCTTCCTCTCGAATACTCAATCGAGGAGTATATCCAGTTCATCGAGGGTAGTTATTAATAACGAGATGCGTTCATTAATAAAACTTACTATCGAGTCAATATAGAACAAGCGCCGTATATTAACTTGATAGTAGCAATAAACTTAAGATGAAAACGATTGAGATTGATAACCTCAACACAAGCGGTTTATTGGTTTAATCAATATAATTAATTCCCCTTGACATATTAACCATGAGATGCATGCATTAATATTCCAAGTTTACTACCGTTGAAAGAACCGGATTAATAACAAGCGTATTAACCGATCGATTCTAGTAATAATTAATATGAGAAACAATACTAGTTGATACTTTAAGTAATATTTAAAATATAATCATGAAATATGAATAGGAATTAATTAATACTCAAGGAAGAATATTAAAGAATATGAATCCTACTATGATTAATATCAAGATGTTAACTAATTGTCATCTTAGTAACACTCCCCAATATTAACATAGAGAAAGAAATAGCTATTACTATAACCAATGTCAAGATGTTAACTAATTGTCATCTTAGTAACACTCCCCAACTTTGATATAGAAATAGTATTTTAAAGGAAGAATTAATATTCAAGGAAGAAGATTAAAGAAAATAACTCACAACTTACAAATTCATTAAGCTTCAAAGTAGCAAAACCAAGATGGAAGAGTTTAGCTCCTCATTTGGAGACTAAACATGAAGAAAATATAAAGAAAAAACTATTCTAGACTGAGCTTAGAAGTATATAGGAATTGGTTATCCAAAAGTGAAGGAAAATGGGGCTACTTATAGGTGTTTTACAACACCTTTGGCCGGGTACCCGACCGGGTAAAGTGCCCACCTAACCGGGTGCATGTCAAAATCAAATATCCTCCACGTTCTGGTGATCTTCAGCATGTTAAAGTGTCCCGGGTCAAGTCAGACCCGACCGGGTGGGGTAGGGGACCCGACCGGGTGAGTGCACATTCTAGGCACTTTCGTTTGTTGAATCAGACCCGACCGGGTGAAGTCTTCTACCCGGTCGGGTATTTGCTCCTGGGCAGTAAAACCTCCTTTTTCTTCACTTTTAAGTTATCCTTTTCAACAACATAATTCCTAATTCTACTTTACAACTTACAAATGAAGATTAAAATACAGTTACAACTAAAATTACACAAATGTTTACAAACTAAATAAAACGATAAACAATGCACATCAATCAAACATAAAAACATACATTTATGCACTACTAATTAGTGCATATCAAATACCCCCACACTTAAACATTTACTCGTCTCGAGTAAATCAAATCCAATCCAAGAAGTCCTTTTACAAATGACAATATCAACGCGAAAACATTCAAGAGTGTTTTTGCCACAATATAAAGTATCCCCAATAGTAATTAAAGTAAAACGGGGTCTTCAACTTCATCTTTATCTCCATTTCTCTTTTAAACTTATCACCTTCAGGATCCTGCAAAATAGACATTTCTCTCATTCTCTCATTTTGCCTAGGTGCCCTTTCAGGTTTTCATCCTAGCTTCCCACATTTTTCTTTTAATTCTCACAACCTCACTCTTTATTTTATTGCTTTAAATTTTTGCTTGAGTTGCCCTTTGTGGGTTTTCAACTCAACAAGCTCTTATTTTTTATTTTTTTTTATTTTTTATTTTTTTTTTATAAAATGAAAAAAAGAGTAGGATTGTGAGCATACCAGAACAATCTCTGCACCCCCACACTTAGGATCTGGCACTGTCCCTAGTGCCCGCCCACATCGCCGCCATCATAGAATCCTCCATAGCCATGATAGCCCCCGTAAGGTGTATCCTCATCCATATGCTCGCTTCCATCACCGGGACTTGGACCGCCAAAATAACCCCATTCAGTGAGGTTATACCAAGAGGGTGCAGGAGGAGGAGTGGTCATAGATGCAAAATCACCCTGATGTGCTATGTAGGAGTAGATCGGGCCATAAGTCCTCCTCATGTCTTCTTGGTCTCTTTGTCGGTTCTCCTCATACCGCTGCCAGTCTCTTAGTCTCTGCTCCTCTATCCTTTCGAACCCCTGTTGTTGTTCAATTCTATATAGGCCAACATCTTCGCGAAGGTTGGTATAGTTGAGGTTGAGGGCAGCCATGCTATTGAGCAGTTCTTGCTCAAATGGTGAAAATTGGTGAGCATTGGGTTGTGGATGGGGTTGTGGTTGTGGTTGTTCGGGTATGAGGGGTGGAGGTTCAAGTGCGGCTTGATCATGATGAGGTTCCTGTTGTTGATAATGGGGTGGTATTCTACCGGGGAGACAGTAATGATGCCC